CGAGTAAGGTCTGTGAACTCTCCTTCTAAAGCCCAACTGTGGTATTCTCTCAGCTGTGAGGGGTCAGGGGAGGTGGAGGAAGTGAGTCAGTCTCCAGAACTCTAGGGATGGCTTTGCTGGAGATGAGGGAATTCTTAAGTCTCTGCAGAGCAGGCCCAGAGCTTAGAAAATGAACCTGTGCCTTCCACATTGTGGGGGTGTGGCTTCTGTGGTTAGAGATGTCATGGCAGACAAAGGTTGAGGATACAGTGGGAGTAAGATGCTGCTACTGTTGGCAGACAAGGATGACGCCCACAGCGAAGACTTCAAATGTCACAGAGAGCAAGAGTTGTCACACATTACTGTAGACAGAGGGGGGAGACAAAGTACTTTATAATTGGTTTTATCATGTTCTTTGCCTCTAATTCAAGAATGGACTAGATGAAGCAGTTAATAGCTGTGTCAAACCATGATTTGCTATCTCATGAGATGACATCAATTATCTGCTCAGTCAATCCTCAGTCTAAACAATCCCCAGGATTGCCTTTCTAAAATGCAAATCCTATGCTTTTATTCCCCCTTGCTTAACTTTTTTTTAAATTCTCTCTTTTTTATAACATGAAGTCCTTAGCTTGACACTTATGGGATGTCCCAGTTATGTATTCTATCATTTTCTAACACTTAGCATATATTTGGTAATACCAATTTCTCCCAATTCCTTAACTATGTTCCATATCACTTTATATACTGTTCCTCCTATAATACACTTCTATTTTCTGCCTGGGGTCCTCAGCCTTTAAGGCCCAGGTCAAGAGTAACTTCCAGGTGAGGCTTCTTTGACTTTCAAAGGTAGAGTTAATCCCTGTCATCTGTGGGTTCCTTTCGCACTACACATATATTTCTATCTCTTCATTTATCGTCCTGTATTTTAGTTCTTTGTTTACATGCCAATCTCTTACTGGACTATAAACCCTTTGGAAGCTAAAACCCCCAGACCAGTCGTTCTTACTGAGCAACTATACCATCTCCTTTTTTTTTTTTTTTAATATTTTATTTATTTATTTGAGAGAGCGAGAATGAGAGAGAGAGAGCACATGAGAGGGGGGAGGGACAGAGGGAGAAGCAGACTCCCCGCGGAGCAGGGAGCCCGATGCGGGACTCGATCTTGGGACTCCAGGATCATGACCTGAGCTGAAGGCAGTCGCCACCCAGGCGCCCGCAACTATACCATCTCCTAAAGTGCATTTTCCAAATTCATGGGGTGTTTCTTGTTTTTATTGTCATCACAATGATGACTGGAGCAATGGGTGCTACATAACTAGCAATGGGCAGGGCAAAGCATTGTTCCAAATTCTGAGTGACGTCTATCTATCTATCTATCTATCTATCTATCTATCTAATTCCAGTTTATATGAAATGCATTAAGCAAATTCATTAAGGCAAATTCATTAATTCATTTTAACAGAGGTTATCAGGACCTGGGAAAGGGAAGAATGAGGAATTATTGTTCATGGGTAATTTCACTGAAAAATTCTGGAAATTTTGGTTCATTGATCTTCTGAGAGCTGCTTTTGAACTTTGTCAATAGATCTCATTTGGTCAGTGACACACGGGTACATTTGTGATACTAGCTCTTCAGAACAGCAGTGGTGAATATGGGTGTGAACCCAAATAAATCTATGGTCAAATTCTGCCTTAATAACTTGGATTACGTCACTTAATCTAAATACTGGTTCCCTACTTGCCATGGGAGGTTTATACTACTTAGTTCAAAGGTTGTAATGAGAGTTGGAAAAAACTGCATGTTCAGTCCTCCACACAGTGCTTGGAGCAGGATCAGGACTTAAAAAAAATGGGTCCTTCCTCTTTCCCCTTCCTCTTTCCCTTCACTGGCTAGCAGCATGACACTGTTTCATGGACACTCAATAAAAGCTGGGTCTCCAGGGACACCTGGGTGGCTCAATCAGTTCAGCATCTGCCTTCAGCTCAGGTCATGATCTCAGGGTCCTGGGATCAAGTCCCATGTTAAGCCCCACATCATGCTCCATGCTCCATGCTCAGCCTCTCCCTCTCCCATGGCCCCTCCCCCACTCTTGCGCACGTGCACTTTCCCCCTCTCTTTCTCTCTCTCAAATAAATAAATAAAATCTTAAGAAATATATATTTTCACTGTAGGGGTCCCTGGATGACTCAGACGGTTGAGCGTCTGACTCTTGATTTCAGATCAGGTCAGGATCTCAGGGTTGTGAGGTTAAGCCCTGTGACCTGCTTGGGCTAGATAGGGAGCCTGCTTAAGATTCTCTTTCTCTCTCTCTCCCCCTCTGCCTTTTCCTCCCACCCCCGCTTGCACACTTGCACATGCACACACACATGCCTATACATTTTCTCTCTCTTAAAAAAATTTTTTTTCACTTGCAATAAAATCATGTTGCTTTCCATTACCAACATGTTACCATTATGATTGTAGTAGGAACAGTATTAGTATTATTAGTAACTCTGTAGGATTAAAATGTGAAGTTTTGTTTTGTGCTTTCATTACTGAGTGACTTTTTTTTTTTTTTCATTACTGAGTGACTTTTAAATGTTCCATGGGGCACTGGTGAGGTAATATAACTTTATATAATCACCTGAACCAAAACTGAGTTCTGCTATATATATAAACACAATGTTAATATACAGTGAGTTTTCCATGAATTGAATTGCTATGAAAATGAAGAAAGGGTTGATTTTTGTTTTGTTTGGAAATTTACCAAGAGTTTTTCACCTTGGCATTGTCACCCTCATTTACTAATGTCATTCCCCTTGCCGTTTTTGAATTGCCAATATAACATGACTGTATCAGGCTACATTTGATGCTATGACATTCACTTGATTTGCCATACAGATACAAGCACCTGACTATGTCTGCTAATATAATTGTGCCCATTAATTTATATATTAAAATAAACATCAGTTTATAATAAATTATTCTTGTTATGTCTCATATGTTACTATACCTCACAGGGTTGTTTTGAAGCTTATATTAATTTGAGTTAATATATATGGTTGGTAGAGTAGCACCTGGTACACAGAAAATGCTACAATATGTGCTGAAGTTACTACTATTGAAAAGTTGTTGAGTATTCATTGATAAATAGTTTTAAATTGCACTTGGAATATGTATCTAAGAAATCCTATGAATCCATTTCTAGGTTTTATATTATAATAATGTGAACCATTTGAGTGTAACTAAATGTTCCCAAGATGTTATAGAAAGTGCTTCAATATTTCTTTTTGTCTAGGAGATTAAAGTGAGATATAATTCTCATTGTGACCAGTTTGCCCTGTACCGTTCACACTCTGTTGTGGTCCTCCTGGGGAGCAATCACAGAAATTGACAACTTTGAGTTGAGTCTTTGCCTATAAAACAGTCTTTCTAAAAAGAGACACACAAAAAAGCACACTCTTAAATACAGAGACCAAAGTTGCCCGAGGGTAGGTGGGTTGGGGGTATGGGTGAAACTGATAAAGGGGAATAGTGCACTCATCTTGATGAGCACTGAAAAATGTATAGAATTGTTGAATCATTTTGTACACCTGAAACTAATATAACACTGTATGGTGATTATGCTTGAATAAAAGTCCCTTCAGAAACTTTACAGGTATTTCAAGATGTATCTTGTAAAAAGCCTATGAACTTTATTTTCCCCTCCTATCTGCCTAATTCCATGTTTATACATCATTTCCTGAATTTGTCAACCAGAGCTTTCTAACCAAAGTGAAGCCATAGTCCAAGAAGTTTACAAGTATAGCTGAGATAGTGATTTCTTCTGCCCTCGTCACAGCCCAGGCACCCAGACTGACCACCTCCAAGTAAGGAGCTCCATCCACTTACCACTGTACCTCACAAATATTATCATTTTCTATTTGTGCCATGACACAGGGAAGATGGGAAGCGCTGCTTTAGGCTAATTCTTCTCCCTGTTGCTTTTATCCTGACTCCAACCTCTCTATATGTGAACCAATAAGTTAAACCTCACAGCCTGCTTGATCACTGGTCTAAGACCTGTAAGAATATCCAGTAATTGTTTATGCTGCTTGGGCACAGATGTATTCTAGGGTTCTTTTATGAAATACCTTTCTAGAAAATTAAAAGTTGAACGAAGAGGGGAGTTTCCTCTGAGGTAACTTCCAAGAGCAACAATATAGACTAATACAATTATTTTTACCACGGTAAGAGTTCTTCGATATTAAAACCACATTATGCACACCTGAAACTAATATAACACTGTTGGTTAGCGACACTGGAATTAAAATAATAAATAAATAAAAACAAAATTAACTGAGAAAGAACCCACATTAAACATCCTGTATAGTTATAAATCACTCAGGGTGGTGGGCAAAATTCTAATGGTCCCAATGCTTCCCAGCCCCTGATAGCCGCCTCATCTTTGAGTAATCCCTACCTCTAGAGTGTGGGCAAGACCTGCAACTTGTTTCTAAGGAACAGAACATGGCAAAGATGATGGAATATCGCTACACAGGTATGCTATGTTACGTGGCAAAAGTGAATGGATATTGCACGTACAGTTAAGGTCCCTACTCAGTTGATCTTCAGTTAACCAAAAGGGTTATAACTGTGGGCCTGACCTAATCAGGTGAGCCTCTTAAAAGAGTGTATAGAGGTAGAGAAGCCACTGACCCCCTCTTTCCCTCCACTGCTGGCTGTGAAGAAGCAAGCTGCCACAACCCCTACAGCCACCCAGAAATAAATTCTTCTGACAACCTGAGGGACTTAGAAGCTGATCCTTCCTTAAGTGAACCTTTGGATGAGAAAGCAGCCTGCTCACACCTTGATTTCAGACTTGTGAGACCCTGGGAAGAGACCCAGCAAAGCCCTGCCTGGACTCCTGGCCCACAGAAACTGTGGGACGATGAACGTGTATGTTGTGTTAAGCCACTAAATCTGTAGTCATTTGTTACACAGCAATAGATGACAAACACCAAGGCAAACAGCTCAGGAAGCACAGCTCACACCTCACCTGCACGTCCATGCTGGTTGGCTCCTCCAACAGATGGAGCAGTTGTTGTTTCTCTCGAAAAAGCTGTTCTACAAGCTTCTCCTGGGCAGTCAGGCTCTGATTCAGTTCCTCAATTCTTCTGGAGCAAAGCAAAAGTCAGAACAACACTTATGGTCATGATACTCTTATTGCCTTTATTTTTCAGGCGACTCCAAAGACAGCATGATCGAGTCCAGTCAGTTTTTACCTTTTTGGGTCATTGAACTCTGGTATTTTTTTCTCAGAAGGCCATGTATTCTCTGCCCTAGTGCCCTACTATGTACACAAAATGACTTTCTGCTTCCATTTTCACCAGGTTCACAGACCTCCTGAAGCTGACCCACGGATCTATAGATCATAGGTATGTAACTCTTGGAATAAGGGCCCAGAAGTTGTGTTTCTAGTTGTTACTGTTCCACTCAAGAAACAATTCCTGGATAGCCATTACATAAACTCAACACACCCTACCAAATACCTGGGAATATAAAGTTAGAAAACACACAATCTCTGCTCTGTAGAAACTTTTTTTTTTTTAAGATTTCTTTATTTATTATTTTAGAAAGAGAGCGGGAGGGAGGGGCAGAGGAAGAGGGAGAGAAGGGGTTTCAAGCAGACTCCCAGCTGAGCGCAGAGCCTGATGCGGGGCTCGATCCCACAACCCTGAAATCTCACAACCTGAGCCAAATCAAGAGACAGACGTTCAACCAACTGAGCCACCCAGACAACCCTCTGCTCGTAGAAGCTTAAATTCTTTTGCTGTGTGTGTGTCAGGGGTTTGGGGAGTGGGGAGACTCGGCAACAAAGGAAACAAAAAAACAAAAAACAACAAGTAACAGGAATAGAATGTAATGAGTGCTACCACGACAGAGGTGTCTACTATAGAGTACACTGAGCACTGCCATGGAACTGTAGGAAAAAAGACAGTCATTGAGCTTGGAGCAGTCTGTGGGACGTTTAGGAGAAGAGATTCGGAAAACTGGACTGTTTTCCAGGTATAGGGAGGAGCTTGAACCAAGGAACAAAGGCATAAAGATAAAAGATATTTTGGGGGAAGAGTCACTGGAACAAAGGATGGGGGGAAGAGGTGAGGGCTAGAGAAGAGGCTGGAAATTCAGCCTCAGCTTTAGGTTATCAGACTGTGCACACTGTGCTAAAGTGTACAAACCACAGGTTCCCATCAACAGCTATTCCTCATCTGCTATGTGCAAGGTATATCTTGCTGTTTCTCTTACGTCTTAAGAGTACTAGAGATACCTGTCCTTGGAAAACATGCTGGTACTAAATGAAGTGTTTCCAATTGTCATTATTATTCCTATGTAGGTGTGTAAGACAGTGATAGTAGCTTGGGAGGGAAATAGTTGGGAGATAGGTGTGGGGTACTAGAAAGTCAAGTAGGAAGCACATAGGCATTTGCTTATAATTTATAAATTAATTTACAAATTATAAATTAATTAAGATTTGTGGATGAGAAAGAACTTTAAAAACTTAAAAACATCATGCAAATGCAAGCTGTAATAGTAATTATGATGATGAGGGGCGCCTGGGTGGCTCAGTCGGTTAAGCATCCGACTCTTGATTTGGCTCAGGTTGCGAGATCTCGGGGTTGTGAGACTGAGCCCACCCCTCATCAGGCTCTGGGCTCAGCTGGGAGTCTGCTTGAAACTCCGTCTCTTTCCCTCTTCCTCTGCCCCAAGTCGGGGTCCACGCTGGGTCTGGAGCCTGCTTAGGATTCTGCTCCTCCCTCCTGCCCCTCTGCTTGTGCTCTCTCTCTCTCTCAAAAAAAAAAAACTAGTAATTATGATGATAAATGTGGATTTCATATCAAATTCCCCATGGTATCTATGCTAGAACATTTCTTTTTTCTCAAGCCTCCAACTTTACTTATCCCTTTGACCCTGAGTCTCTATAGATGATCTATTCTCCTACTTTACAAAGTTGGTAAGGCCATTTGATATAAACTCCCTAACTTTTTTTTTTAAGATTTTATTTATTTTTTGACAGAGAGAGAGACAGCGAGAGAGGGAACGCAAGCAGGGGGAGTGGGAGAGGGAGGAGCAGGCTTCCTGCCGATGCGGGGCTCAATCCCAGGACCCTGGGATCATGACCTGAGCGGAAGGTAGACGCTTAACGACTGAGCCACCCAGGTGCCCCTAAACTCCCTAATTTATTGGTCACGTGTGCATGTTTTCTTTTGTTTGTTTAACAAGTGTTTATTGGGATATGGACATGAGACAAGGGTCTCAGGGAATCTAACAGGGAAAATCTGAAAGCAAATACAATGCCACACTGAGAACTGTACAACAGTGGATGTGTATATAAAACACGGCAACAATATAGAGACTTAATTCTGCTGTCATAAAAGCACTCGCAGAAGTGACGATTGATGGCTGAGTGAGTTTTGAAGTATGAATAGGAGTTCACCAGGAAGGAAAAACACAGCAGATGTTTTCCACAGAAGGAAGAGCGTGAGCAAAATTCGGGAGACCCGACATAGCATCATTTGCTTCTGGAGGCGATGTGTGGATTCAGGGTTTAGATTCCGGCAATGCCTGTGGCCACGTTACACAACTCCCTAAATGACAGTTTCTTCATTTATAAAGTATAATAATCCCTACCTCTGGGGTTGTTAGGAGAATTAAACAACATTATAGTACTCAGCTCAGTTGTATAGTAAGAGTGAAACAAACTTTAGTCATCATTACTATTACTAGTCATGCATCAGTGAAGTGTGAAGGGGTCATGGTGGGGATGAGTCTGGGAGAAATCAGGGGTCAGATCATAAAAGGCTTTGATGGCCATCGTAAGGAAAATGGACCTTACCTCCTGAAGGTGTTGTAGAGCATTTTATTTTATTTTTATTTTTTTAAAAAGATTTATTTATTTGAGAGAGAGAATAAGTGGGGCGAGGGGCAGAGGGACAGAATCTTCAAGTGGACTCCCTGCTGAGCACAGAGCCTGACATCGGGCTCGATCTCACGACCCATGAGATCATGACCTGGGCCAAAACCAAGAATTGGATGCTTAACCAACTGAGCCACGCAGGCGCCCCTGGAGAGCATTTTAATGACTCTGCCATGTCAGTGATCAGATCTGTGTCTCAAAAAGATCACATTACTCATTGTGAGTACTTTGTGTGTTTTTCACCTATCCAGTTAAAAACTACTAAAGGCTTTTTATGCCACCATAGTACCATGCATCTAAGAGCCTAAATTATGTGCCAGTTTGATACTGACGAATTTTCCACTTCAAAACTTCTCTGAATTGTTAGATTGCACTAAAATAGAGAGGGGCAGGTCCCGGAAGTAAAGAAATAACTAGGAAGTTGTTGCATTAACCTAGACAGGGGTGACCTCAACAATTGTCCAATTACCGTTAGAAGAAAATTCAAGCTCCTTACGGCATACAAAGCCAGCACAATCAGACCTTATTCCCAGTGCAGCCTGCCTCCCTCTCGTCTTTCCCAGACCCTCTGCTCTAGTTATGTAGAACTATTTGCTGGTCTTGAAATATGCCTTTCCCTCTGTCTCCCTTGCATAGTTTCTCCATCAGCACAGAATTTCTCCCTTTCCCACCTACTTCCTACACTATTTCTTCAAACTCCTATTCATCCTTCAAAATCCAGCTCAGATTTCAACTCCCCCAGGAAACTTTCAATGGCACCTTGCTCTTTTAGTCTGGAATAGATGACAATCCTCTACGTTCCAGAGAGCATCCCATGTTACTTCTATCAGAGAACTTATTGAAATCACGTAACATGTTTCTTTTTTTTTTTAAGATTTTATTTATTTATTTGAGAGAGAGAGAATGAGAGATAGAGAGCACGAGAGGGAAGAGGGTCAGAGGGAGAAGCAGACTCCCTGCCGAGCAGGGAGCCCGATGTGGGACTCGATCCCGGGACTCCAGGATCATGACCTGAGCCGAAGGCAGTCGCTTAACCAACTGAGCCACCCAGGCGCCCTCACGTAACATGTTTCTTACCAAGAAGACATGGGTCTTTCATCTTTGTAACCTTTGTGTTTAGGCCAGTGTCTGGCATGTAGCAGATGCTCCATAAACATGAATAAGTGAATCCATGTCTCTTGTTTGCCACCATTTGACCATTGTTCTACTTATACCTACTTGGGCTCCTTACGGCTCAGAAGTGAGTTCTGTTAATGGATACCATTGAAGACTCAACCCTAAAAAGAAAATCCTTGGTTGTGGGAGCTATAAAGTCTTGGAAATTGTGAAGGTCTACTCTAGGGCCTTAAAAGGGAGCAGCACAGCTGGTATATGCTTTTGTAGCCTCAAGAACAGGCAAAAGACAAGTGACAAACAGAGCACAGGAGGCACCTACTTGTCCCGCTGGGCCAGGGCCTCAGTGTATTGGTCAGGATTGACCCGGTCCGTTGGTACCTCGTCCCTGTCCTTGGTGACTCCCTTCAGTTTCTCTGAGAGCTCCAGGTTACACTCTTTCTCTGCTTCCACCAGAGCTGCCATGCGTGCAGCCTCATTCTTTGCTAGCCTGGATTCCTGCAAAAAGAACAGCAACTGAGAGACTGTGAAGTGCCCCCCTAGGTTAGGAGCCCAAGACTGTAGACACTTGGATGAGTTGGGGAAGGAAAGAAGGGAGAGAAAAGGTGCATGCCAGGAGGCAGAGCAGTAGGGAAATAGATGAAAGGGGGCCCAGGCCCATGGATCTCTGGAAGTCCTGCTCACCTCCTGCAGAAGCTGGATCTTATTCTCCAGGAGCTCGTAAACATGCTCCGTCTCCTGCTGTCTCTCCTCAAACTGGCGCCGGAGCTCAGCTTCATTATGGCTGTTGAGATTCTCCACATCAGCCCTGAAACCACAGAGCATTTGCCAGTCAGAGCCAGCCATATAATTTAGCAAATGGACCCGTTAAGGTTGTTTCAATCATTCAGAGTCACAGTGATGAGAAAAAAAAAAAAATGAAGCATTTTTCCCTCTGCAATTATTTGTGGAACTGCTTTTCCAAACTTTTCAGGTAATCTTTCAGGAACTCTAATTTTTTTTGTTTCTTGTCAATCAGAATATATACTTGACTTCCTAGAGGAGGCTTCATTATTGCTATCGCTTTAAGAGGAAATTAATTTGGGAGGTGGGCAGTCATCAAATGGTTCAGAATTCAACATCCATGTTCATCTGTCCCTGGTCTCTTCCATTTAGTCTGTTCCCCCAGAGTGCTTTGCTAATTCCCTGTCTTTCTTGCTATTTGAATTTAAAGTGTTCCTTCCAGTTAGAGTGCTGGGACAGAATATCCATTTGGACAGCCACAGAAATGCTCTCTTCCTTTATAGCTAGTAACCCACAGACTATCCTGAATCTGGGCTATCTATCCAGTTTTCCCATGGCCCCATGCAGAGAACAGAAATTTAATCTATGAAGCTCGGGGTTCTGGCCCAGCTTTGCTTCTCTGATGTCCTTAGGAATGAGTGTCCAGGCACTAGCATGAAGCGGGTAAGGTGTCACCAGCTTATTTATAGCTAACAACAGCTGCCCTTGCTGTCTGAGGATTAACAATTTGGAGGCAGTATCAGGTGCTGAATGATCTTAATTCCGGTTTGGTTTTATTCCTGTTTTAAGCCATTTGTTGAGAATCATGGACCATCTTCTTGTTCTCAAGGCAGAGAACAATATTATGCCTTCATAGGTTCATGATAAATCAGAGCTGCTCTATCCAAGCCCAGTGGCACTTTAATATTTGACCCAGAAGTCTGTGTCTATGAACACCAAAGGGGGCTTTCCCAAAGATTCTAGGATTCTTCGGTTGATAATGGACACTACTCAGCACCATCTCAGAGGCTACATTTTCTTGAGTTCCCATATCATTATACAGATTGGGGGTGGGGGTAGAGGGTCTTGGTTGTACAAGGGACACAACTCAAGAAAATAACTCAAGACCTGTAAATAGGCAGACCTCAAGAATCATCAACTTTGACTTCATATTCCTTGACAAATGCAACAGACAACAGCTAACTACAATATCTTGAGAATGGAAGTTATACATTTTCTGGGTAACTCGGCAGGGAATGCCTGATTTAATAGGCTACAGCTGTTGTAAAGTCATAAGGGCGTCAAACTTGATGCCAGAGATGTAGGCTCTGCCACTCATTTGAGAAGACTTTAACGTACCTTAGTTTTCTCATTTCTAAAAATAGGATAATGCCACCCAATTAAAAGTTGAACGGACATAAAACATGTTTTAAAAGCATTACACCAATCTCAAAATTTATTTCTCAATCGTAAGTTTTCCTAAAGTCTATTAGCTCATTTAATGACTTATTAAGTCTTTAGTAATATCAGCATCATGTGTACAATTGAGTCTGGTTTTGAGTATTCTGATCTTGTTGGACTGCCATCCTAAATATCAAGAAATACTGTAGAGACAGAAGGAATGCCAGATCAGATTAAATGTATACAGATCCCAGAACAGAATCTAAAAATTATTTTTAATAGCAATTTTAACAATACTTGTCATTGAAAACGAAGGGGTTTTTAATGATAAAAACTATAAATTATAAAAGTAACCATTTTAACAATACAAAATTACATAAAGAAAAAAAGAAACAAGTCTTCTCCCCAACAAAAACTCTAATCTCATTTCCCTGATACGAGTAATATTGAAGAGTTTGGTAAATAGCCCTCTAGTTTTTTTTTTTTTTAATGCATAATCAAGCAAACACATGTAGACACAGAGGGGACTGTTTGTCTTTACACAAAGGGGCTTATACCATAAATATCACCCAGCACTTTTCCCCCTTGCTTAGTCTATCAGGGACTTCCCACCAAAATAATAATATAGAGCTAACTCATTCTTTTAAATGATTGCATAGTATTCCACAGTATGTTTATATCAAAATGTCTTCAACCATTGCCCTCTTGATGGATAGCTATTTCTAGTTTTTTGCCATTATAAATAATGATGCAGTAAACATCCTTCTGCATTTATTTTTGAGGGATAGATTCCTCCTAGAGAGTATTTGGTCAAAGGTAGTATGTATTTTTCACTTTGGTAGGTAGTGCCACATACCAAAAATATTGCCATAATTCAAACTCTCACCAGCAGTATATGAGAGTGCCCACTTTCCCCCAAATCTATGTCAACCTTTGATGTTATTAGCCAATTGTTGAATAGGAAGTTTGTAATCTTAGGCCCAGTGAATTTCCAATCCACCTCAACGTCTGTCAGATTTAGTAATAGAGCCAAAGGGAAAGAAAGCACATTGTTTCAGTTTCTCAATTGGCCACAGCATTCACAGGCCCGAGTTAAGGTGAAGGAATTTGGTTCCAAATTTACTGTTCTCAGATTAACAAACCAGACTCTGGAAAGAACGAAGAGCTCAACTGGTTCAAACTGCAACTCACCATGTTTTATCTAGATGCTGTTTCTTGTCCTGGAGTTCTCGTTTCAGGCTCTCTACTTCAACCTTCAGCTCGATGTTCTGAAAAGCACACAGGCGTTAATCGCCATTAATTGCCACAGACCCTCTGTCCTGGAACCAGGTTCCTACTTGAGTCTTGCCTTGGTCCACAGCTTCTCATCTTATCCCAGACCTCTTCATGACCCATGACATAAATGAGATTCACATGGATCAGTAACCCAGTCAAGGATGAATGGACTATATAGCTTTGGGATTTCCCTGAAGCTACTTACCTGTTCTCCCAAGCCATTCATTCTTGCCCCTGGATGATGAACACCACCAAAGTCTGTTTGTTCTCTAAGGCATCAGAGGATAGCGTGTATATTAAAATAATTTTTTCTTACTCATGTAAGTCTGCTTCTGAAAGCCAAATTACTGTATACAGAATCATATCTTACATATAACTGGGGACTTAATTATTTAAAGAAATCATGTTGCAAACGTTTTTGAAAACAATATGCTGCCTTTATCGTTAAATTGAATTTTCATAAATTGCGTTTGCTTAAAGTGATAGGGGATTCTTATGGTAAATCTATGAAGGAGACAATTTTTGTCGAGATGAAACAGCAACAAATTACGACTTGACAAACACAAAAAGGAAATGAAAACACCCCAGGAGAAGTAAAGTATGAACAGAGATTTGGTGAAACGTTGTCCACGGAACGTCCAGTACAGCTTGAATGGCCTGGTGTATGGTGAAGAGTGGGAAATCAGCACAGAAAATGTTCACAACTAGTTTGTGAAAGCTATGCTAAGATGACTGAATAGTAGCCAGTAGAGAACAAGAACTCATCAGGGAGCTTTAGGCAAAATATTGCCATGATCAGGTCTGTGTTGGGGAAGGAGTTCACAGTAGATGTAAAAAAGATGAATGAGTCAGGAGGCCACTGCTCAGAATAGAGACAGGGACTGTCTGGGGTCAAAGAGGTACAGCGAGCAAGACTCAAAAGGCATTTCCAAGGGGGAACCTGTGGGGCTTGCTGATCTATAAGAGAGAGAGAGAGGAGCAAAGACAATGCTGAGATTTCTAGCATGTGGGTGGTAATGCATACTATTAACTAAAATAGGGAACAGAAAAAGAGGAGCAGGTTTGTAGGGGAACCTAACGAGGAGTCTAAAAATACTAGTCAGGGATTTGCTTTATTAAGGTTTAGAGCTGAGTACACACCGATGAGTTGGTCCCTTCCCTGAATACACAGTATGAAACAGGAAGAATTTCATCAGTACTATGTTATGGACTTACCATGTGCACCTCAGTCTTCCCACAGGTATGTTACGGTTGCTTTTTTTTTTTTTTTTTTTAATGAAGATAATAATGTCTACTCCACAGGGGGCTTTGTGCAGATTCAGTGGGATAAGGGACATAATACACCTAGAAAACTTAGAACTCTGCCTTGCACACGGCTGCTCAACAACCTATGTTCACTGGCTAATGAGTGCCAGTCAAGAGATCTCCACCCCACCAGGAAAAATATTTAAATCTAAAGGAAATAAAAATGGAATGTTAACCACACTGGAATTAAAAGAGAGAAAAAGAAAAAAGAAAAAAAATGGAGGATGCAAGTTCTGTGGGCTCTCTCCTAGATAAGAAAATGAAGTCAGTACTTGAATTAACTTGGCAAAAGTTTCCAGGTCCCGGGGCGCCTGGGTGGCTCAGTTGGTTAAGCGACTGCCTTCGGCTCAGGTCATGATCCCAGAGTCCCAGGATCGAGTCCCACATCGGGCTCCCTGCTCGGCGGGGAGTCTGCTTCTCCCTCTGACCCTCTTCCCTCTCGTGCTTTCTATCTCTCATTCTCTCTCTCTCTCAAATAAATAAATAAATAAAAAAAAAAAAAAAGTTTCCAGGTCCCTCATTTTAAAGGTAAGGAAATTGAAACTCGAAGACTTCCTCTAAGATAAAAACAATAATCGAATGCAGCATTCCATTTGTGCTCCAGCATTTCAGCCAGAGACCAGCCCAGGAAGCACTGCCAATTTTTGCTTGATTTAGTAGAATGTGGTAAATTATAGAATTAGGGAAGGTACTACATTAGGCAGTTAAGTACAGTGGCCAAGAAAATAGGCCCTGAAGATGAGAAGAGGAGTTGGTAAGCCACCTGCCCTCTCTAAAAGCGTCAACCTCCTCCTCTATCAAAGGAGTATCATAATGGCACCTCTCTTATTAGGGTGTTAAGAAGACTGAATGAAATAATGCTCAAAACGTACATTGCACAATCCATGACATGCAGTAAGCGTTCAGCCAATGTTAGCTGTTATTAACTATAAAAACAAAAATTTACCCTCTCTGACTAGGACTGCTGAACTTCTCAACCAATCACATGTTAAGCTAATGTCATGTCATGGAAAGGAAAGAAAATTACTACACCAAAGGCAGGCTATCCCAGACACCTGCACACAAATACGTGCCCAATTTGAACAGTCTGCAGGTGAGCTATATCCTTCTAAGATAAGTAGAAAAGACAAAAGAAAAGCAGGGAAAGAAAAGAAGAAGTAGGAAAGATGAAAAATAGAATTAATTCTCCAGGCTTTGGCATTTGGTCCACTCAATCAAACAGACAATAAAGTTTATGAGGCTCACACAGAACTGCTAAAATAGTCTCATTTCCACAAGATTAGATCCTAAATCTTATGATCAGTTATTCCAGTGGATCAAAGTACTTTCATGGGTGTTAGAAAATCTACCACATGGAAATGCGAGTACATAACCAATTGACAGCACTGCGGTCTAACCCTTCTGTAACCTCTTTCTGCAGAAAAATCTCTGCATGGTTTATCACATTTATTCATTATCCATTAGCAAATATTCATATATAAATTGTCCAATTCTAAGTACAGCTGGAGTGGATCCCAAATTAACTCCATCTGCTTATCACCAAGTCTTGTCAGCTCTTGGTCAAGATATCTGAGGAAATTTCTGTACTCAAGAAAGGGGCAGCTGGGCTGGCAAGGAAGAGAGCCTTTTTACATGTCCCCAGAGGAGTATTCACCTATCTAATTGAAGAAAAATTTCACTGATGAAGCTAAAATTAAATGACTGGAAATACAATAAACCTTCATTATGTTAATAACTTGAGCTTGAGAACTTGGCTAATGATGAGTTTATAGATTAACTGTGTTTCATCAGACTTTCTGTGTCGCAACTTGTCTTGTTTCCGGAAAAATCACGCCAGTGATAACCAATTACCTAACTCCTCCAAGGCTTCAATTTTAACTCTACAAATCGATCCACTGCTCATAACTTCATATTCATGCAAGTGTGTGTGTGTGTCTGTGTTTTAATTACTCTTCAAGCACCTTGAGGAGAGGAACTATGTCTTATTTTGTCTCTCTCATAATTTGCTTCTGGGGTAAGTGCAGGCACTTAAAAGAACAAAAAGCTTGACAGCATACAGTCATTGATAAAATCAGCAAGGAAAGTATGTGTTAGAGATTAAAGGTTGCTGGAACCAAAGTTCTTCCCATTGAAGTTCTTGACCTCAGGAAATTCTCAGTGTAGTAAGATGTGAACTGGGATCAGTGAGTGAAGGAAACGGATATCAGGTCTTTGCAAGACAGTAGGTTATAAGCCAGAGAGGAGCACAGCCTTCCATAGAAGAGTCCTTATTTGACACAAAAAATAAATATGGCCAGATCTCACTTTAAATCAATTCTGTAAACTAAAATAATTCAAGAAGAAATAGGTTAGCAGGAAGAAGAGTCTCAAAATCTGTGAGCAGACCCTCTTATAATTTGTGATTATTCAAAGTGAAAACTAACTCTAAGTGGGTGAGTTTTATTTTAAAATCTTTTCTTTGGGCGCCTGGGTGGCTCAGATGGTTAAGCATCTGCCTTCGGCTCAGGTCATGATCCCGGGGTCCCGGGATCAAGTCCCACATCGGGCTCCCTGCTCCTTGGGAGCCTGCTTCTCCCTCTGCTTCTCTCTCTCTCTCTCTCTCTCCCCCTCTGTCTCTCATGAATAAATAAATAAAATCTTAAAAAAAATAAAAATAAAAATAAAAGAAATAAAAATAAATCTTTTCTTTTTAGAATTGTATCCCTTCTAAGGAAAAGTATAGCTCGTAAATATTTTTTGCATACAGAGTAAATTTGTTTTCCGGACCTCTCTGATACCCCCGGGGCAAAGCCGTAGCTCTGTAAAACAATGTGAAGTATTGACTATTTTCTTTCTTTCTTTTTTTTTTTAAAGATTTTTTATTTATTTATTTGAGAAACAGAGAATGAGAGACAGAGAGCATGAGAGGGAAGAGGGTCAGAGGGAGAAGCAGACTCCCTGCCGAGCAGGGAGCCCGATGCGGGACTCGATCCAGGGACTCCAGGATCATGACCTGAGCCGAAGGCAGTCGCTTAACCGACTGAGCCACCCAGGCGCCCCTTGACTATTTTCATAAGGAGTTCAATGTGTCCTGACCAAGGGACAAATGACCGGTCCCTACAAATCCCTAGAAATGCATTTTAGTAGCTTCCCAGTGAATTATTTGTAGATGAACCTGCTTTCCATTCACCCAGGTTTTATTATTTATTTATTTAAAAAAATTTTTTTTAAGATTTTATTTATTTATTTGAGACAGAGGAAGAGAGCACGAGCAGGGGGAGAAGCAGACTCCCCGCTGAGCAGAGAGCCTGACATGGGACTCGATCCCAGGACCCTGCATTCCCAGGTACCCTCCATTCACCCAGTTTTAAAGGAAAAATAGAACTCTAGTGAGTCTAAATATTTGGTTCTGTCATTAACTAACTGTGTGACCTTGGACAAGTCATCCCCAAAGCTTTCTGGTTTTTATACAATTAATTTAAATCAGAGCCTCTCCCTCCTGCCCCATAAGAATTATAATCAAACCCCATTGCTCATCTCAGTTGATGTGAGACACCTAGCCAGAATGTGTTCAAATGCAAAACGTCAAGTCCTTGGACCACAGGGTAGAGGAAAGACTTTAGTCAGTCCCTGTCTTTCTACTGTCATCCATTAGCACAGTGAAGCCCCAAATTAGACACACAGGTTGCCCCAACATGTGACAAGTGTC